CACATGGCCAGTGCGACTTAGAGACGGAACGCTGTTACCTTCCCACCGAGGTGGTCCCTATTTATCTACTCGCATTTGCTTGCTTTCGAACCGCTAGGTTGGCGGGAGCTGGGACAAGTGACGGGCGCTCACTCCGTCATGTGGATTCGATCTTACGACTGCTGGTCTTCTGACCCTGCAGCACAGGCTTCTGCGGTTTAGCCCACAGCGCCACCACGTTTAGTGGAAAATCTCTTTCCAATGTGAAGTGATGGAACACAGACATAGTTTGAAAAAGACGAGTGAAGCAGATAATCTAATGACTTGGATTTTATCTAAAACTGGAGTACATTTTATAGGACGTTTACCTCTTCTCTGGCAGGTCTGGCCCTTTGGTCAGGTGAAATGAAATAGCAGCCTTGAGCAGCAGATCTTGCATATCATGAAAGGGCATACATTTTCAGGGGACAATCCTGTTAGTTTGTTGAAACATAACCAAGAGGAGTCTTGTGGCATCTCAAGGTCTAACAAATTTACAGCTCACTTCTTTGGATAAATTTGAAGTGGACTATGCCTAATAAACCTTGAAAGCTTATGCCAGGTAAGTCTTGGTTGTATGGGGGAAGCCAGAGGGTATTTCTGTTGAACATACATAATGCTTTGTTTGCTACTTATATCTAGACATCCTCCCCTGTTCTTTTCATGGCACTGCTTAGATATCATCTTACGTAGCCTGTCCAGTTCTAGACACCACATTTTAAGAAGGAGGCAGATAAACCAGAAGACATTCAGAGGAGGGCAACAGAGATGGTTAGGGGACTAGAAACAGAGCCCTGTGAGGAAGGACTGACAGATCTGGGTGGGTTTAGCTGTGAGGAAAAAAGACTGATGAGAGATATGATAGCATTCGTAAAATTCTTAAAAACCCTTGTGAGGAGAACGTCCTAAGAAATCTAGAAGATTTCAAACTGTTGGATATGTTATCAGTCGAAACTCTGCCAGCATGGAGGAATGGCAGCGTTGCACCATAGCGTCATCACTGTCTGATAGACAGATGCATGTCCACAAATACGTCTGGGATAAAAGTTATCTGATAAAAGTTATGCAATAAATATACTCTACCTGGTAATAGACAAGCATAATATAAAATAGTGATTAATGGTTGAAATGATATTTCATGTAAGTAACATTTCACTTCCGGTGGAAGACTCATTTGACTCATCAAACACAATCTTTCAATTGGGATTGGAAAGGTTATACCTTGTCTATCTTCATTTAATCTTCTATGACAGGGAAAGGTTAATAGGAGGTGTCTTCTTGCAGTCTGAGTGGGTGATGATTTCCTTCCCAAGGATATGATGGCATTTCAATGAACTCCCACACTCTGGCAATGGATTATCAGAAAACTCTTTGTTGGGATTGTAAATGTCGGTGTTGTTAAGAGACTCACCTAGTTCTGTAAGCTTTGCCCTCCAGATACACTAAGATGAATCAGTGACACCAGCACCCTCTTATGTGGATCCAGCAAGGAAAATACGTGTGCTTTCCACATTATAGCCGGCAGTCCCTTAATTGTTCATGGCTCCAATTCATAGATAAAGATACCATGCTTTCTTACCACAAAAGGCTTATAAAAGCCAGAGAATAATGTGGTGTTGTGGTAGGGGTGTTGTATTGGGACTTGGGAGATCAAGGTTCTAGTCCCCATTGAGCCATGAACTTACTGGCCAAAATCCTGTTGCTTAGTGTAATCAGTGGGACTAGACTAGGCCCATTGAATCCATGAGGATTTGGTAAGCCAGCTCCTCCATAAGTTCCATTATATAAGAACATAAGAAGAGCCTTGCTGGATCAGGCCAAGAGCCCATCTAATCCAGCTTCCTGTATCTCATAGTGGCCCCACCAGATGCCTCTGGGAGCACATGAGACAACTAGATACCTTTCTCCTATTCAATGGGCCTACACTAGTCTGATTTATGATGCTAAGCAACAATATTTTGGCCACTTTTTCCATCCTTCACACTTAGCCTAAAGTATCTCACATGGTTGCTGTGAAGATAAAGTAACTGGAAAGCCACGTACGTATGCCATATTGAGCTGATGGAAGGGAAGACAGCATATTAATGAAAACCCTTTTGAATCAATGGAACTAATGGAGTACTTGACTCATTCACTCCTCATAGATTCAGTGGGCCTACTCTAGTTTGATTTATGATGCAAAGCAACAAGATTTTGGCCACTTTTTCCATCCTTTACTTTTAGCCTAAAGTATCTCACATGGCTGCTGTGAAGATAAAGTGATGGGAAAGCCAAGTATGCCATATTGAGCTGATGGGAGGGAAGACAGCATATTAATGAAAGTAATAATATTTTTTAAAATGTTGAAAGGTTTCCTTGCTAGCTTGCTTCGAAAGATCCCAGAAATGGTGAGAGATAGAAACATGTCATAAGTTATTGTGTTCACATGCTTCAGTGGGTAGGTAGACTTGAAAACAGTGAAATCTGTGGGGACTGAAAGGCAGAAGGTACTGAAAATGACCTTCCAAAGAATTTGTTTAACAAAATAATAGTTGAGGTAATAACATAGATAGCCTTGCACCAAGGAATTAGGCAAAACTGATAGTATGATAAAATACCTTTGTCCCATCCAGACTTGCAAAAGCAAATGCAGGAAATATTATGGGTTGGAGGTGGGCTGATTTGCATTTTTGTTGTTGTTGCAGATTGCATGATGGAAATGCAAATCAGCCTGGAGTTTCCCCATTCAAATCCAAAGTTTTTCTTCTTCTTTTCTAGCTTTCTATTTTTTTTTAAAAAAAATTGAATAAATTCAAATTAAGTTCAGTTTAGTTTCCTTTTCTGAGTGGACCAGAAAAGGAAAAACAAGCTATGTGAACATGCATGCATGCATACAGACTTTCTCCTTCACCTGTTGCATTGTGAAGGACAAACTGTACACAAACACATAGACACAAATATACCTTCGGCCTCAGATCCTTTTTTCTTGCAGTTTCTCTCCCTATGGGTAGAGAGGAGGAAGCCAATAAGCACTCAGCAAAGTCCGGTCTGCAAGATTTTTATTTTATTTTTCTCTGTGGAGTCTGTGTGCCTTGTGTCAAAGAAGGCTCATGTGGTTGCTTAGCGTGCAGTCCAGCCCCTATTTAATGGAGGAAAGAAGATCAGGGTGCTTTTCTTGAGTTCAATCCCCTTCTGGTTTGCTTTACATTCTCTCTCCTCCCCTTTTTTTTGTAAAAAATGAAGGAAAAAGACTCTTGCATTTTTACAATTCAGGGCATTGTTAATTCTATTAGGATGCCTTGATTCTAAGCTTCCTCAGTTGCTTGTTAACTGCACCATCTGCTGGTTTATTGAAAAAAGTTTTCCCCTCTGTCTTTCCCTGTGTGGCCAGTTAATGTGCATAGACCCTGCCCCGGGAGGGGGGGATCTGAACCTCTTCTTGCAACGTCACAATGAATGAATGTGAATGAAATCACACTTCCCTTGCTGTGTAGCCATACCCTCATGAGCAACAAGATGTGGAATGGAGAACTTGTATTCCTGCACTGAGATAGGGGTTGGACTCAATGGCCTTATATGCCCCTGCCAACTCCATATTCTGTGATTCCTTGATTCATTTGTAGCTGTTTCACCAGGGAACAAGCTTCTGAGAACAGACTAGTGAGATCCATGGCAGGGCAACCGTGGGAAGCAGAAATGTTTCTTTATTGCATAGGTGGCTCACAACTGGAGCAGGGTGGGAGGGGCACATATTGATATATCAGGAAAAGGCATCTCAGTTCTACTTTGGTAGCAAGATGCTTATGGCTGGATGTTTTTGAATAATGTCATTTAACAATGCTGTTTCCTCTGGAAACATCCATACTAACTACCCTTTGAAGTGTACTCTGCTTGGACTTTCTTGCTTAGATAGAGTAGTATATGAATGCAACTAATATAAGTTTGAAGAGAGACAATAGAGTGAGTCCTATAAAAGTTCACATCCAAACAGTCCTTAGAACATATGGAAATTGTTAGATGTTGTTCTGTGTCAAGTTCCTCCATTAGGTGTGATCCAGATACATTGGAGCACAACTGACATCAGTTGCATGCAGTGGTACTGCTAACAGCAGCATTGTCTGGTCACAATGAGAGTTTAATCCCACACATTGGAAGGACCAAACATTCATTCATTCCACTCCATTCCATTTCTTGCCTCATTAGTGCAATGCACTATTCTGAGTGGTTAACAGAATAAAAGCCAAACAATAACAAACAAATGGTAAATCAAACGGTAAATCAAGATGATAAAAGTAACCACAAGAGTGAAATAAGCAACATTGGGGGAAGCTGCTCTTCCATTGGGATGATTGATAACTCCAAGTTCCTGGGAGAGATCCATCTGCTCTGAGCTTTTGTCTAAATTTTGCAGGAACTATTCAAGGTGCAGCTAAAGCATATCCCCAAAATGGTTTCAGCACCTTGGATAGCAGCTATGCAGTTCAGAGTAAAACCTGGTAGGGAATGACTGAGTCTGAGAACCCAGAATCACTAGCTTTCTCTATTACAGATGTCAGTTAGGATATTTATGTCCTATTGCTACTCAGTTTGTATCTTCTCATCTTATTACTTTCCAAAACTATTCTCTGACAAAATTCTTTGGTACAAACCTTATGTCCTATTGCTACTCAGTTTGTATCTACCCACCATATTACTTTCCCTGACTATTCTCTGACAATTCTTTGGTACAACCATTTCTGCTTATAGCGATAGACTAATACAAGCAGTAATTTCTTATATAACCTTCAGTTCTCTGCCCTTTAACATTTCTTACTATATAATGTATGCATGAATCCTGAATTTTATATGAAATTTTACTACAGAATATGAATGTAGAACATCATATGAAATTTTGTCGTGTATTATATGAGTTATATTGAAAATTAAAAAAAAACCTCAGAATATAGTAGCTTCAGATTCCCCCCTCAACCATACATAAACTGTCAACACAAGGTGTACTGTAGAATAAAGGCTTTATTGAAAATCTGTTTCAGACTATAAAACATTAAGGCTGCAGTTCTTCACTCCCTGACTCAAAAGTAAGGCTGACTGAACACCGTATGGCTTACTCCTGAGTAGACACATATGGTATTGCCCTGCAGGAAAAGTGCACTGCTGATGCCATTTTGAGTTTTGTATAATTAACTAGGCTCTTTGTGCATAGGCACAAGATAATAAGTAGCTTTTAGTGTCATGAGAGACACATCCTGAAAAGATTTTGGTGTTTAATTTTTCCCCTTCCTTAACAGTTAAACCAGCTGTTGCTTTTCATTGCACGGATCACTCTTTTAGTATTTGGATCAAACTCCCATTGCTTAGACCCTTGGAAAAAATAGAAGAGTCCTAGAAAGAAAAAAAAGAAAGAAAGATTGTATTATAGCAGAGTTATATGGCTGAGGAATCTTGTTCTTTTAAAGAAATGAATTCTGGTTTCATAACAAGCCAGCTGGAAACTATGGGTAATTAAGCTGCCATGTTAAATGAAGTGCTTTCTTTTAGACCAGGATCACTGATTTGAATGTAATGCAAAGTTACTGGTCATTGGAATATAAGCACGGCTCTTGTTTCTACATCTGATTTCTGGGAATGTAGCTCTGAAAGATTTGTGTGCCCAGAAGGATAATTTTGTAAGAAACAGAAATATACAACAGAGTTAATGTTGGATCTGCCCTATAATTTCTTCTTCTATCTCTTACACCCATACACACACACTTGCAAACTTCTGCTGCAACTGCAGCATTCATAAGTTTCAGAATGCTCCAATACAGAAGGGTGTTAATGGTTTTAGGAGACCACTGCTCCCCACCACTGATGTCTGTAGTTACTATGTGGATTTTGATTCCACCAATTTTTTAATATTCAACAGGTACAGTGCCACTAAAGAGTTTTAGCCACTAGTCATTGATTTGGTTAGATGACATGCATGTCACTACAGAAAAATGGCCAGGATTCACGGAAGGAAATCTCCGCACAGACCTGCTTCAATCAGCAAAACTGGAAGAAAGATAATCTCTCCTGCCTCTTACAGCTTCCTCTATCATGCATCACTAAAACCATCTGAATCTGTTTTTCAAGTGGCAGAGAACTATTGAAAAGTATGATCCTGTGATTAGAATGTTTGCCCAAAGTTGGGCTCATGTTTGACTTGATGCTTCTGCAATCAGACTTGCAAATTAGGTCTGCATTTACTTTCCAATGACCAATCACAAAACAAAATATGTGAAATGCATGACAGGCAGTTGAGGACAATCACTGGGCAGATGTCTTTTACCATTGAAAGGAGTGATTCTCCTATGTAGATAATCTACTCTAACCCGACTCTCTTTTCACTTACCATTATGCTGAAAAACAGCATCAACCTTCTGCCCAATTGCAGGAAAATCATTCTTTATGTTTCGCGGGTTGCCTTTGTCCATAGATTGACTGTTTTCATCATACCTGAATAACACAGTTTGAGGAAATGAATTTATTTACCATAGATCCTGAATCTGCCCAGTGAATTCAGCACATAGTCCTACATTTTACATGTACCTTTATCCTATTGATTTTTTTGTCTCACTATAAGCACAAAACAACCCAAAACCAAAAACCCAGTAAAGATCATTGCCATTTTCCAAAAACATTTGCATGAAAGGAATCAGATTGATTGGATCTATTGATATTGAATACGTCGCATGCTGGGATTGCCCAAGACAATCTAAGTTTCACCTTTGCCTTGATTTGGAAAAGTGATTTTTTTTTGAAGATTCTGGGAATTGTTGTTTAGCCTCCTCCATGGGCATCTATTGGAAGGTGAGCACTCTAAAACTCATTTTTGGGTGATGTAGCCTAAAATCATGTAGGGCTTTTAAGACTAATGGGGTAACCAAGGAAGTTGAATCACTTTGACACCTTTGGTGTTGAACTCATGGGGTTCTGGGTGGTTAGGAGCACTGTATTTATTGAATATTTATTTACTAAATATTTATTTACTTATTGGAATATTGATTGATTGAGAAAAAAACTGTGAATACCCCAAACATATTTATTTACTGAATATTTATTTATTTATTTATTGGAATATTAATTGATTGAGAAAAAAAACTGTGTATACCCAAAATAATGCTGCTCAAACATGTGCAATTCATGGGAGAAGTGTACATCTTATGATAGCCTTATGAGTTGCCTATATATTTCTACAAAATGTATGTTATTGGATAGCTCACCTCCAATACTTGTTACCCACGAAGAAATAAGTTTTTTGAGTATTTTTATCAAAAACAGCAGCATCAATTTTCTTAGTGCTTTGTGGGAAGCCCAAACTGTCAATGGTTTTAGGGTAGCCAGGCTGCATCTGAAACCCACTAATCATCCAAACGTGATTATCTGTTCAAGCAAAAAATAAATAAAAATAAAGAAATAAACTTTTGTCAAACAGTTTCCGCTTTATTTTGAAAAGTCTCACTGGGTCCTCTTTACAGCAAATCAACATGAGAGCAATCCACTGTTTTCGTATCTTAGGACTGGGATAATCAGTTCTGCAAGGGTGGTGTGGGGCCCCACTGGATGACAAAGTGCATTGCATAGAACTCTGTCATTGCTGAGCCATTTAATTTTGGTGGCGGTGGTAAGCAGAAAGACAACAATTTGAATGTGGAGAAACAAAGCCTTGTTTTCATTCAGAATTGGATTTCCAAGATCACAGTTTTGGGGAAAGACCCCCCCTTGTGCCTTTCATCAAAGTAATTTTTTCTTTAGACTTTGTGTGGCCGAAGTTCAGGGGCGCAGCAGCAAATTCAGTGATAACAGTGGTGGCAGGACAGGGGCAGGGGCTAGACAAAGGCTAGCCTTCAACCGCACCTTGGTCAACCCTGCTGTGCAGTAATAAATTCTACCTTTGCCTCTACTTGGTTTTACCTACACCTTGCACCATGCCATGTTGGACAGTGTGACAGGATCCATAGCAACCTCCTTGGGTGTCACGGCCCACAGGCTGGAAGCTTGTGATCTATAACAGCAGTTTCTGCTCTCAGTCCATTGCTTGAGGATAGTTTTCTGAGAAAACAGAAATTGCAGTCCTATAGCTTTTCACATGAAAGAGATGTGCAAAGATGCAACTCACTCATGTGCAGTTAATGTTCAAGTGTTGCATCAACTGGCAGTACCCTCGAAAATAACATTTTCCACTGGCTGGATATTTCAGAGGAAGACAAAAACAAGCTTGGTTTTTAAAAGTAAACGTGTCTTTCCTAACTGTTCTTTTTACCAAGGAAGCCCTAATAATTTTCTAATGGATTCCAATGACATTCTGGAGTCCTCTTAAGAGACTGTCTCAAATAATACAAATAATAGGGATTACCTTTGAAAAAGAAAACTTGATCATTCATGTTTTCATAAGCTGCTTGGATGCCAGATGGTAAGAAAGGCCAAAAGGTAGAAATCAATTCCAAATCTACTTCAGAACGACTTGGGTACACTCTCCAGAGATATCTGAAATCAATGCAATATTAATCTATCTTCCAAATTATGACTAGAAATCATTTTAAAATTAGGCGAGAAACACAACTGCTTTATTTATTCATTCATTCTGTTTGTACCAAACCTTTCTCCCAGTTAAAGGACCCAAGGTGCTTTACAAAATATCTAAAAGACAAATCCTAAGCTAGTTAAAAATATGCTGTATTACAATATTCAAAAACAAGCACATTACATATTAAAGCTATTGAATAGAACAGTTTAAAATCACATTTGGAAAGACAAGGTAACACATTGCCATCAAAAACATTTCCTTGCCAGCCAGTTACTTATTCCCTAAAAAGAAAAGTCTTTGCCTGCTGATAGATGGATTGCAAAGAAGGGGTCAGCCTAGCTTCCAATGGAAAGATGTTCCACAGCCCGGGAGTTGCCACTGTAAAGGTCCTCTCCTGTCCACTCATGACATCTGGGCATCCATGCTCACAGATGAATCCAGGAGGGTTAGCAAAGTAAAAATCTGAGTTTTTAGAAGAATTGTGACCTCATACAGCACAGGTTGATTCCCTGTTCCTGATCTGCATTTTAACTAGCTGACCAAGAATTTCTCCAGAATCAGCTTCAGTATATTTGCACTCATCCTGTCCATTATGAAAACCAGATACTTGTTTCGAACTGAAATAGCCTCTTCATATTTGGAAGGAAAACAGATATTGGTGTAATCTGCATACTGGTGAAATAATAATCTTAGAACTGCAGAGCTTGAAGGGACCCTATGGATCATTGAGTCCAGTTAAGGAGGCACAGTGGGGAATCAAACTCCCAACCTCTGGTTCTGCAGCTAGAGAGCTAAACCACTGAGCTATCCAGCAGCTCAACCTGGAAACTCTGGACTATCTATCTCAGTTCTTTCATGTATATGTTAAATAACATGGGGAATAGAATGGAGTTCTAAGTGGTCCCACAGGCCAACATCTTGGCCATTAGAAAGGAGTCTCGCAGTACTGCCTTCTGAGTTCACGACACCCCTTGAGTCAGACTCACAATCATCATGAGGGACCTGATGTCCAGAGCCACCACTGACAGGCCAGTCTTTGTATGCAATGCAGAAACATCTGAAAAGACAAGCTGAGGATACTCCAATGCAACCCTGAGAGCATGTTAGTTACTTCTGAAGGAGTTGTGCTGTGGGGTGGGCGGTACAACAACAGAAACTCTATTCTATCTTGGGTGTCACTATGTTTATGCTACTGTAAATCAGTCTGATCAGCTTCTAAACTGGGTTTCTAAGAATTCCTCTTAGCTACACCTATGAGAGAAGCAGATTTGTTACAGCTGTTGATCAATTCATTAATCGGTCAGTCAAAGAGACTGAAATGTCATTGGTGGTTAGGCAAATAAAGTCCTCTATTGCCAATTGACTTGTTTTGGAGTATGTCGTGTTTACCTGCCCTTTAAAAATAGTATTTCTCTTCGAAGTGTAGTGACAGCATCAAATGATATTTTAGGACTGCAAGCTTTAGGTTTTGCTGGCTTCACTGGCTTCTTTGGTGGATTTAATGATGGTCCTGAAATAACCAAATAGATAAATTAGATATATAAAATTGATTATGGTCAATAACCCAATATTAGAAATACAAATAAACTAATAAATACATAAAATATATCAACTAGAAACAGAAGAAAACAAAAGCAAAAATTATTAAAAAATGAAGACAAAAATGTTGTGGCAATGTTTTTGTCTTCATTTTTTTGTTTTTGCTTTTGTTTTCTCTTGTCTTGTGTTGATATGCTTTCACAGACTAACATGACTACCACTTCAAAAAGTACATAAAATATGTTTTCCAAGGATCTGCATTAATCTCACTCTAAAAATAAAATAACTAAAAACCTCTTAATGGCATGGTGGCATGCTGACTGTGTTCCCCTCTTTTGTTGCTGTTGTTTAGTCATTAAGTCGTGTTCGACTCTTCGTGACCCCATGGACTAGAGCACGCCAGGCCCTCCTGTCTTCCACTGCCTCATGGAGTTGGGTCAAATTCATGACCACTTGGGGGAACACCACTTCTAGAAATGTGCCAAATGCATCTCATGTTAGATAAAATATCTCACCCCAGGTTAGATAAAGAGTTACTTTGGTTTGGTAGGCAGGTTGAGAACTCCATAGAAATAATGCTGTTTTCATGTTACTTAAAGAGGTACATTTCTCGTCACATCTTTCTGTCTGCTTGAAGTTTCTCCTACCCTCAAATTGAGTCCTATATTGAGATAATTGCAAGCATTAGTTGGAACTACAGAGGTTATTACTATAATTACATTAAACTGTGGGAGTTACTTCAAAACGCCTGTATTTTACAATAAAGAACTTAATTCTTTGCTTGTGTAAAATACTTTTTGAAGATTTATTTTTGATTATTATTTCTAATTTCTTCATACCATAGATGGCCTGAATGCCATCAATGTCATCTTGGGCAAGTGGAAAATCCTCAGGATCAATGGGTTTATAATTTGGGAACATCAGTGCTCTTGGGTCACTTGAATGCGCCAGGCCAAGCACATGGCCAATCTCGTGAGCAGCCACCAACCACAAGTTGAATTCTAAATAAAGACATAAATAAGAGAACAACGATAAATATGGACTCTGATGTGAAAGAGAACAAAGATAAATATGGACTCTGATGTGAAAGAGAACAAAGATAAATCAAATATGGACTCTGATGTGAATGCAAACCTCAATTCCACTGCCATTCTTGTTTCTGGACCCACATGGATAAAATAATCCACACTGGAGAAGACAATAATGCTAGAAAAATTCAGAGGCAGCAGGAAAAGAGGAAGACCAAACACGAGACAGATTTACTCCGTAAAGGAAGCCAGAGGCTTGAGTTTAAAAGAGTTGGTCAGGACAGTTGAGGACAGGAAATTTTGGGGATTGCTCATTCACAGGATTGCCATCAGTTGGAGGCAACTGGATAAAAATAGACATATAAGTACCAGAACATGCTGGGGAATCTAGTATCCTGTTGACCTGAGATAGGGATGGAACAAAAAAGTGGATGGTTCATTTTTAAAGGTACTGTGGCATTTGCCCTTGTGGCTCCTGCTTGTCTTTCTCTCACAAAGGCTCATGTTGCGTTTTCTTCTCGCTGCCACCAGTGGATTACCTCAATCCACAATATAAATGGTGTTTGTCAGAACACTTGTGAACAGAAACAGAACTTATTTATTGAAATGAAGCAGATTGAATAATAACAGAAGTTCTTCAGATACACATTATGCATAAGCATTTCATCAACAGTTCTCTCAGAACATACTTCTTTTCTCTTGCAATATCATGACCACCTTCTCTACCTATTTTTCTAACCAGCTCTATCCCTTTCAGTATCTCATCCCAATCTCTATCCCTCTGCCTAACCAGCCCTCTCTCTCTCTCTCTGACTCCTCCTTCTCCCGCCAAGCCTCATGTAGCTGCTGACTCCGCCTCTCCAGTCCATTCATAGATTCATGCAAATCACCTCATGAATATGAATGGCATGAGTGCCGTGGGCAGTTGCCACAGGTACATTTGACCATCTGCCATAGCAATCTTGACTGGGGTCCCAAGAAGAGGATGAAATGGGTGCCTATGAACAATGGGGCTCACTTCGCCTGTTATGTTGGTATTAAAAGATGGAGGAAAAGATGGAGGCAAGGAGGCTGTTCAGGACAATACATTCATCCCTATCTTGGCAATCTCCACTTGGAGCTGAGGGATGGGAATTAGCTATACCAAATCCAGGGTTCAATGAACTGCTAGGCCCAGGTTAGGCCTGACTGGTGGAAAGAAGTGGTCTATCTCATTTTTTGAAGAAATAAAAGTTTCTCTTTGCATCATTCAGGGGATCCCTTATGCTTCCAGGGCCTTGACAATGAAACAGCCAGTGAAGCTAAGCATCTTTGTAAATACAAATGTTCTCCCCTCCCGCCAACATCTGCCTTGGTTTCTTGCAGTGCTCCACAAATACAGATTGAAGAAAACAAGAGTGTCTGCAGGAAGTTTTTGGGGTGGGTTGGGGGAGAAGGCTGGTCTGGTGGCATCATTTGTGCACACACTGTCTTCCTTTGTTTAATGAATTCATTTAGGATTTTGTTGGGCAGGCACCGCCTTTCCATTTGAGGGTAATCATGGAGCAAATATCCTAAAAGAAGAGCAGTGGACTCTGTTAAAATATATGGAAACAATCAATTAGAGAGAAAATGAAACTGACTGTTATTATGTTAAAAGGAGAAAGATTGATATTTCCAAGGAATTTGAAAAATCATAATCAACGGAGTTTGGAAGAATGGAAGAATGAGAAATGGGACCTAGCTATTAAGGATAAGTTAACTTGCAAACTGAACGTTAGAAAAGGATTATTGAAAGAAAACAGTTTTAAAGGAATTTGGAATGTTTTCTTAGAACATGTTTTTACTAAACATAAAGATTGTACCCCAACAGAAGAATCAGTATATTTTTTGAAGAGAGAAGGCACAGGATATAAATTAAGGAAAAATGTACTGATGAAGAGAGATAGATATAGATATGTGTCCATAGAAACATGGTTCCCATCTATGTACATATATATATACATTCCTGCCAAAAAAGAAACATACTGGAAAACAGCAAATCACCTCTTAAGCTTGAGTCCTTTGAAGGATGCCATTTAACTTTTGTTCATTGAAATGTATCTTTTCATCTGTTTTGCCTAACACGATAAAATAGTTTCTTTGTTACTGTCATCTCAATACAAAGCAAGTTTATACTGTATTAAACTATAATTTGCAGAAGGTACTGGTTTTCAGCTTACCAATGGTGCTGTAATGAGCAGGGATCACAGGTGAGTATAGCTCTGGGACATTTCTCAATGCAGGAGCAATGACATCATCAGGGTATTTGACTGATCTTCTTCGCCCTGGGGCTGGAAAACCAATGAAGTGATGAGGAGGCTTTCAAGTTTTATTGTTTTTTCTGAGATTCATACACTCAGAATAAGGAAAATAATCAGATAATGGCTTTAATTTTATGGGCACTGTGGGAATGTAAGGACAAATTCTTTATAGCTGGGATTATGTTGTGTTTTGTATTCCAGAGTTTTATAGTTTTCAATTTCAACCATTGGGTTCTCTGTACACTGAACTTAAGAAAATAAGGTATTGGAGACTAACAGAATACATTCTGGACTTGGGAAGTACAGAATTTGTGGGAAATTTTTCCAGTTACCTCTTGCACCATGGAGCTTAAAGGACACATAAATATAATGTATCTTAAAATATGTCTGAATTAATGCTGTTAATCTGTTACCTTTCCTTTTTAGAAAATGCAACTTCTTGGAACATTTCTTACTGTGTTTGCAATATAAATGCAAAGGCTAACCCCGTTGCGCCTCGGAGAATGGCACATGTGTCTACATGAATTTCAGAGCTTTGCAAAGTCAATTTTGTTGACTTCGATTCCCAGAATCCTCCAGTCCTCATTATGGCCACTTTCTAAGCTCTGGCTCTGGTGAACTCTTGTACTTCAGATTTTAGGACAACACCTTTGCTTACCTTCTAGTCTGGCCGTCCAGGCTTCATCTTCATCCAAATGAACATTTCCACGAAGGGGATGGCCAGGTGGGAAAGCATGTCCAAGAACTCCCAGGGGTCCATCAAAATGCCGAGGACAGCGGCCATGCACTAAGCAACATCACAGGAAGGCATGATTATACACAGAGTCCTAACAACTGCAACAGCTGAATGAATTTTAAAGTCGCTGCAGCATGCGCAGGTTACCTCGAGTTGCAAACTCAATGATGATGTCTGATCTCTCATTATGAACTCTCCTGAAGGTTAAAGGAGTCACTGTACTCCAAACTTCAAATGCTCTTTGGATGGCTGTGTCCACGTCAGCTTTTTCCATATCAGGAGTATAATTCACAATCCTAAGAGAATAAAATGGAACTGGCAGAAAGAAAGTCTCGGTTTCATGTTGTCAGTATCATCGTTATGATAATTGTGTACAATAATACACCCCAACACCAAACATTTTCATTCAGAAGCAGAGATGGAGAATAGAGTGGAGGAAGTTTTCAGATTGCTTTTGATTTCATTTCCTCCCCAGCAACTGCTTTAAAATATAAGTCCAAGTCACAGGAGGATTATTTTGTTTAATTAAATGCCATGAACTGAAGATGATTACACGATGTATCTCCAAGGCATTTGCTAAGAATGTACTGATTTTATACATTGACCAGTTTGAAATGCCCCAAAGTATATGTTATAGATAGTCATATCTCCAAGGCATTTGCTAAGAATGTACTAATTTTATACATTGACCAGTTTGACCAAGTATATGTTATAGATAGTCGTTGATTAGAAAATAGAAATCTTTAACTACTGAAAACATCTGAATGTCACAGCAGAAATTTATCACACCTCCTACAGTCTGCATATTAGCTGGTCTTGTTTTATGGTTGTTCACAGGGAAGTACAGTAAGCACAATCTTTATTTGGAAGTATGGGTGCTCAGTCACAAAGGTCTGTGATTACACTGACAAGTTTCAATTTCTAGTGATCAGTAATCTGTAACGGTAGCCCTTATTTAGTACTAATGTGAACTTAGAACTAAAAGTAACTATTATTATTCACACTGTGGGTAGTATAATGCACAAACTGTGAGAAAAGGAAAACGGATGGTGATTGCTATTTAAAACCTAATTCATATACAAAAGTTGGTGAATGTGTATTCACAGGGTTTGTTGGACTCCAAATCCCATCATTCCTAGCCTACATAGGCAGTGGAGAGGGATAATGGAAACCCACCCTTGTCATATATAATGAACTTAAGGCTTGAAAAAATTACTTCCGTGAGACCGTAACTCCCAGAATCTTGTAGTGACTGAGGAATTCTGGGTATTGTAGTCTCCATGCTTTGCAATGAAGGACGCATTTGTTCCAGCGGCCAAACCATATGCATGTTCACTTAAGAAGGAAGTTCTATCTATCTATCTATCTATCTATCTATCTATCTATCTATCTATCTATCTATCTATCTATCTATCTATCTATCTATCTATCTATCTATCTATCTATCTATCTTCTATCTATCTATCTATTTATCTATCTATCTATCTATCTATCTATCTATCTATCTATCTATCTATCTATCTATCTATCTATCTATATCCCACCTATCTGGTCAAGTTCTCTCTGGATTCAGTGCTTACTCCCATGTTAATGTACATATGATGACGTGGACAGCTTGTGGTCCTCCAGATACTGAGGATGGTAACTCCCATCAGCTCTAGCCAGCCTAGGTAATGGATTGTGGGGGATACGGTCCAGTCATTGTAGTTGCTCATTCCTGATGTTGAGGACAACTTTAATTCACTTCTTATTGCACCAAAGTACTCATTACCTGTATGTAAGCTTGGTTTTCTCCCACCCAGGAAGAGCCAAGACATATTGTCCAATATCAGGTACCCCACACCTCGGTTGCTGCATAACTTCCAGTGTGGCTGCATTGACCTTTCCAGTGACATTCAGTCCAAAAAATGTTTGCATCTGTCGGATTTTGTCCATAAAGGAGTAATTGCTTTTCCACCCCCGCTGCCCTGGTTCCTGTTCTTGTGTATAAAACTGATTTAAATAGTCCTGGCAAAATTAGAAAAATCACAACAAAGGAAGAACATCATTTAATTATATATGAAAAACAAATGCTACAAGCACAAGATTTTTGCAGTTACAGCCATAATAATTGCTCAATGCTAAATTTGACTGTTTGCAATCAGGTGATGAATGTTTTTAAAAATATACATGTTTGCTCTGATTAGTTTTAAAATGCCCTCCTTTATTGGCTGTTGCAGATTTAAACCTGGAATAGGTACTATAAGAAATGGGGCCATTTAGCAGGATACCACTTGGGCCTCCTTTTCTGCCCTTGATTTATTCTTCCTCAACAATACAGTGGTGCCTCGCTTAACGAGCGCACCGTACAACGACGAAATCGCATAGCGATCCCTTTTTTGGGATCGCTAATGCGATCGCTCAACGACGCGTAGATAGGGCGAAACTTGCTTTGCGAAGATCGGTAAGCGTTTCACTTACCGATCTTCGCAAAACGAAGCCCCGATGATCAGCTGTTCGGCAGACAAAATGGCCGCCGGAAGCCCCAAAATGGCCGCACGCAGCGTTTTTGCGCCCTCCCCTCACTTAACGAGGGCGCGAAAATGGCTGCCGGCCATAGGAAACTTCGCTGAACGGTGAGTAAAGGAGCCTTTTGGAACGCATTAAACGATGTTTAATGCGTCCCAATGGCTTTCCCTGTCCCGTTCAGCGATCATTTAGCAGGATACCACTTGGGCCTCCTTTTCTGCCCTTGATTTATTCTTCCTCCATTTATACATTTAGGATTACAGTCTGGTTTCTATGTAGGCTGTTTTGCTCTAATTTCAATCTAACTGACTTGTGTTATAGTTTGAGAGGCATGTATGAAAACCTAGAATCTATTGGGATTTTACCCCACGTAACCAACATTGTGTAATTTCAGGCAGCAAACTGCAGCTCATTAACAAATGTTGAGGATTCTGGGTATTGTAGTACCAGTTGTGCTCCTTGTCACATAACGAGACACACAACAGACCCACTGCTAATTAGTTACAGTTTGCTCCATGACGTAATGTGATTTCACTTACTCTGGAATCAAGTTTCAATAGGATATTTATACTTTTACAGCACTTGTATATAGCACATTTGTATTTGTCTAGCATTATGTTTGCGTAGCATTTAAAGCCATGCACTTACATTATGTACTGTAGTAAGCATTACTTGCAATTAAGTATTGTTATCAGTATAGTAACTTAACAAAGTATACTAACAAAGCCAGTACCCTTCCATATCACAGAACAAGGGGCTCAGACAAAGCAAGAGAGAGAGAATGAGAGCAAAAGATAGCCACTTTGAGCGTTTCTGACAAAAATCACACTGGATACTTCTAGTTTTCTTAGCTTCCATGACACCAAAAGAAGACTCTCCCTTGCTGAGCCCCAGATCCTCTCTTTCTGCCATTACAAGGAAGCAAATATATCCTTAACGTTCACCTGGCCCTCCCCTTAAAGTCCTCTTTGTACTTTCAGAGGAGACAGACTGTGGCAAAATCCAGAATCTGGAAGCCAACGCCTCCAAGCTTCTCAGAGAAGGGAACACATTGTTACCTGTGCAAGCTGCATCTTTTGCTCTTCACTTGTTTTCCCTGACAAAATCGGGAGTCCGTAAGAGAATGCAGCAGACAAGAGCAAAAGCAGAAGGCTCTTCATCTTAAAACACAGCCTCTTTGTTTAAGGAGCACAAAAGTCTCACACTGGACTGTTGCAATTAATTCTGACTTTCAAGCTTTATGTTTCATGAAGCCAGCTGTAGACTGACTCAGAGTTTATCATGCTCTGATTAGCAACAGAAAGAGTACACGTCAAGAGAAGGTGTCACAATAAATCTTGGTTTTGTAATCCTTTGAAGTTTATATATGGTATTTTCTTTACAAAAACAAGCACACACACAAAATCTTTCTGGCTTATCTCCAAAATGGGTTCCTTGGCCTTAGCTGCATGCCCTGCTTTTAACACAATTACAAGAAGTAACTGCATCTGATGATTACAGTAATTTACTTGTTATCCAGTAAGTTGTTGTTAATAGTTATCAAACAAATATACAGTATGTAGGAAGATAAAACAGCAGTTGAGTGCTTTAGGTTTTCTTCATCATTTATCCCTTTGATCTAAAGCTGGAATTACAAATTGTCTCAAATTCAAATGCTTCCTGCTTTCTCTCTCTCTATTTTTTTATTTAAAGTTTCGCTTCAGAAGAGTGTTTGTGGGAGGTTCCTCATGATGGATACAAGGGCCAGCCTATGAACACCAAGCATATGCTCTGAGAATGAAGAAGTGGTTTTGTCATAGAGACACAAATTGGCCAATCAGTGGCGTGCACATCTGTCTTACATTCAGATTTCCATTCAGATTTAAATTAAAAATAAATAAATAAATAAAAATCAAGATGAGGAGGAAGACAAAGGTAACACTATGTGCTTCAAAGGTAGTGTGAGTATTTTCAATCTAGGATCAGTGTGGGAGTCATGTTATTTCAGTAACACTCTTGGGCATAAGTCACATCGGTTGTGCACTTCATGAACCATCAAGGCTGGCCTTAACATGAGCCAGAGTAAGGCAGCTCCTCAGTGCAGCACATTGAGAACTGTGAAAGACCAGGAAATTGACAGACACGGAGTTTGTTGCAATTGTGATTTTACACCTAGATTTGGGGAGTCTACCTGTAGGATTTTCTGCTTCTGTATCAAACTAAATTCCTGGCTGTAGATACACTTCGCCTTGAAGTAGTGAGTGGGGAAGGCCATTTGATCTTCTTTAGGTATCATAATGACTTGGGAGGACCTTGTGTATCATAATACATGAGAATGACTCTTCAGTTCCACTGTCATCTCCTTCAAAGTAATCTTATTTTTGACACCAGGTTTATGAGATGTGTCCCTCAGAGATACCAAACATATTCACTCCCCCCAGCCCCCACCCATTTCTGCATCTTAATACTAATTTTAGAAGGCAACATCCCAGCAGCAGCATGACAATTCTATTCTTCCAAAAACAACAAAAACACCCTCTAGTTTATGAATGTGGGATATTGTGGTTCTCTCCTCTGTCCACCTGAAGGTGGTGGGACAGAGAGAAAGGCCTCTTTTTTTGATGATCTTAACACCCACGTGTGCATATAAAGCTTTTTCATGGATTGCTGCCTTGTCGTGGTGAAGGGGCTTGAGTAACTCAGAGAAGCTATGGGCTATGCCGTGCAGGGACACCCAAGACGGACAGGTCATAGGGAAGAGTTCTAACTAAGTCTCTGTCTGAGTTGAATTCACCCATTCCTGTCCATTTTAGTTCACTGACACCCAGGATGTTGATGTTTATTCTTGCCATCTCCTGTTTGACCACCTCCAGCTTCCCAAGGTTCATAGATCTTACATTCCAGGTTCCTATGCAGTATTTTTCTTTCCAGCATTGGACTTTCCTTTCACTTCCAGCACGTCCACAGCTGAGCATCCTTTCAGCTTTGGCACAACCACTTCATTAGCTCTGGAGCTACTTGTCCTTGTCCTCCGCTCTTCCTCAGTAACATGTTGGATGCCTTTCGACCTGAGGGCCCCATCTTCCAGCGTCATATCTTTTAGCCTTTTGTTTCTGATCATGGGGTGTTCTTGGCAAAGACACTGAGTGGCATTGCCAATTCCTACTCCAGGTGGATTGCGTTTAGTCGGAACTCTCCGCTATGACCTGTCCATCTTGGGTGTCCCTGCGCGGCATAGCCCATAGCTTCTCTGAGTTACTCAAGCCCCTTCGCCACGACAAGGCGGCAATCCATGAGAGGAAACAGATATATAGACACGTCCTATACTCAGCAAAATGCAGCCATTTCACCAAGCAGGCAAATAAAGCTATTACACCGTACAAGACACATCCTATACCCAGCAAAATGCAACCATTTCACCAAGCAGGCAAACAAAGCTATTACACCGTACGCTCCCCCAGTGTTCCATTTCCCAAATACAATGTAATGATAACATAAGTAACTGAAAAGTAGAAATTGAGTAAAAGAAAATAGAAACTCACTGTTCCTCAAATGTCATTCGTAACATCCAAGTGAGTACGTTCAGCTCACTAGAGGCCTGTAGCTTAAAAGGGACCAAAAGCTAAGTGAGAGAGGGAAGCTGCAGGATCTTCACCAACATTTTCTCCTCCACAACTGCCTGTCCATTAGCCCTGTTTGATGACTTATAACCCCAGGAAGTAGATCACAGTGACTGATGTCAATGGGACATTTGTAAGAAATAGGGGTTGCCACAGAGGTCACCTTTGGGGAGGGGGACTCAATGGCAGCTCTGAAAGTGCTTATTTATTTATTTATTTTTATTTACCCAATGGTTTTTTGCTTATTTACATTGATGCCAGGGGTCATGTATGCAAATGAGTCATGCTAATGAGAGTACCAGCAGTCCTTTTCCTATGAAATGACCCCTGGGTTGCAGTATATAAATAATTATATTCCATAACACTGTTGTGGTATTTATCTTAAAAATTTTAAATATAAATTTTCAGTGGAATTTTTTTCAAGAAACTAGTCTGTATAAAACGGTGCCTCTCTCAGGTCAGTTCTGCGACCCTCTGAGGTCAGTTCTGCAACCCTTTTAGGTCTGCGCTCTAGGCGGTCGCCTACTTCGCCTAGTAGTAGCTCCGGCTCTGAGAAGTACTAAACCCCTCCAAAGATGAGGAAAGAAGACAGATCAATTCCATCATCTGCAACACAGCCTGTTTTCTAAAGTTCCTCTTTCTCCGGCTTTCATCACTTTGAGGCAATGCTTGTTTTTTCCTTTTCCATTTTGAAAAAGTTCTTGCTTCAGCCATGGGGCGCTTCTCTCACAGTAGACTTGTCCCCTTGTGCATTTCTATTTAATAGGCCCCCTTTCACATGTGTTTCTTTATTGGAAAGCTTCATTGCAAAATCTGGAGAAATGTGAAGATCAATAGATAACCATATTTTGGTTTGCGTTATGCAGATTCAGTATGCTGGAAAAAGTTCCGAGTTCTGTCTTGCAAATGTAAATCAAAGGTATTTTTGCTTAAAAACAAATGGCAGGTATGATTCTAAGTTCCTGTTTTTAAAAATCAATTGTAGATATTAGAAACTAGCCCAGGGAGTACACCTTCAGAGGAAGGCCTCTTTTGTGAATGGTCCTGTTAACTGAGTTTGCTTGATGGCTGTCAATGTTTCTCGGTATGGTTTCTGGCTTATAGTCCTGAAGCTAATGCTGATTTGTCAGGGCTTATCATTTCTGTCTTGTGCACCACAGAAGGAGGCATTTCTGTAACTATATGGGCCAGCACTTCTTAAGCATTCCTGAGCCAATGGAGGGGAGTGTTGGAATTCCCTGCATTAGCAGGAGATTTGCGTAAATGACACCTGGATCCCATCCAAGAGACTGTAGAAGTCATCTGTAGATTCTGAGGACAGCTTTAGTGAATAAAGGAATCATACTATGGAATGTGAAACCTCTGTTACATCACACATTGAAAGTGGGACATAACAGCTCACGGATCTGGCCACAAAACTGAAAAGAAAAAATCATAAGGGGAAAGGCGCTTTTAACAAATCAAAGTGTATGGTGAGCTTTCTTAGAGCTGCTTGGTGGTTGGCCTGGATAGATAAAGGATTGCAGAAGTTTTAAATCCAATGTCGCCTTCTCTGTTTGTCCACCCACCCATATCCCCATCTTTGCCTGCCATCATTTGCTTATCATGTCTGCCTCTGTCTACCTCTAAGTATGAATGAATGAACAAATCAAGCTTTATTGCTTAAAACCATAGGCTATCAAACTGTTTCAGTAACAGCAGCAGAACATATATGGTACTGACAGTGCATATACAGAAGTAGAATGCCTTGTATGTTATAAAAGTAACTGTAGTCATGAGTATATATACAGGATTTTCTTACTCACTCTGTTGTCTCAGAAAACACTCTAAGAAAACATTTTCAAAACTTTAAGAAGGAATTGATCAGTACATGAAAAAGAATGCAATGTATAATATCAGCGTTTTTTAAATGTTACTTCTGAATCTTAGCCAGTAATTCTCAGTGCCAGTATATCTAAGCCAGTGACCTCCAGGGAGTATATCAGGATTTCAGGAGAAGCATATGTAGTTTGGAAAAACATATTAAGTATTATATTAGTATGTTATGATATCCCTATTATACCGATGGAGGCTGGTGACTCCCATATCATGGCAACCATTAATTTCATTCTGGGTTTTAGTTTGAACTCTATAGGAGCGATTAACCTCCAAGAAATTTCAACTGCTGAGATAGCTCTTTAAAGTTTGGACTAAAATCTCGAGTGACAGCCATGGCTCGCACAATATCTGAGTTAGCATCCTCTTCAATGTCATTTAAATAGCCATTCAGGTATTGAAAATGGGCTCAAGATGAGGTATATTCTCACCTAAAGGTGTGCATATTTGTATTTTTGGCCTACAGGGATGGAAACTAAGAAGGAATCTGCCCTGACTTGAGGTAATGTCACAATTCCTGCTTGCAAATAAGATGTGGTTGAAAAACAGTACAGTATTTTATGTTTCATCACTACCTTCCTACCACTAGTCAGAGGAAAACCACAGTTCACGTTACCAAACCCCTTTTCTCATAAATCTGTTCTGCAATTCTTCTTTCTCTGCTTCCAGTTCTTTTAAAATCTCCCCCATCCTCAAGTTCAGTTTCCAAAATCATAAGCAAGGCCATTAAAGGCATTAATGGCAGTGGAGGTGAGTGGGTGGATAGCAAAGTCAGAGGAGAACCAGCAACTACAGGGAGGCTTCCACTGCAAGTCTTCCTCTGTTTAAATGTTAGACTGGAACATTTTACACATCCAATTTAGCTGCTGCTTACTTTCCCCTGTTACCCCCTTGCTTTCTCTCAAGACTGCTGGATAGCTCAGTGGCTTAGGAGCTTGAAGGCCCACTGTGCCTCCTTGACAGGGGCTGGACTTAATAATCCTTATGGTCCTTCTATCTTGGCAGTTCAAAGATAATGATGATGACAATGACATGGTGGGGTGGCAAGCTGTGGAAGAATCCAGTGTCCAGTGGAGATTCTTCTACCAGGATGGGAATCCTCTACTCCCTGAAATGGGGAGCACTTAAAAAAGGGACGTGGTGGCACTGCGGGTTAAACCACAGAAGCCTCTGTGCTGCAAAGTCAGGAGACCAGCGGTCGTAAGATCAAATCCATGCGATGGAGTGAGCCCCCATTGCCTGTCCCAGCTCCTGCCAACCTAGCAGTTTGAAAGCATCTAAATGCGAGTAGATAAATAGGTACCACCACGGTGGGAAGGCAACGGCTTTCTGTGTCTAGTCGCGCTGGCCACATGACCATGGAAACTGTCTAAGGACAAATGCTGGCTCTACGGCTTGGAGACGGGGATGAGCAGCACGCCCTAGAGTCAGACACGAATGGACTACATCCTCTACTCCCTGAAATGGGGAGCACTTACACATTACCAAAAAAGATGAAATGCATCAGCCCACCAGAAAAGGGGACAACATGTGACAATGATTAAGCACAAGTTTAGAAATTACCATTATAACAATCTCTTGCTACAACAGGAAAAAAATTACGACCACATAACCTGCAAGCTTGCTTGGTCATCTAGACCCAATCTTCCATTACTTCGTGCAGCTTCACAGATATTGCACCCCATCCTCTTGGTTCTTTATCTTTAAGCTGTCTTTAGATTTCAGGGCCCTTTGAATAGAGAACTGAACTTTGACAGTCCCTCAAACGGAGGGCTATCCTTTGTAAACAAGGACACTGGACCATCCTGTTGCTTGCTGCTATCTGCAGTGTATTGTTGTAGTAATGACAGACAAAACAGAGAGTATGGAAGCGTTTCTTTGGGAGACTACATCTTCCAGAATCCTCTACCCAACATAATCAGTAGCCAGGCTAGCTAGGGGAATTCTGGGAGCTGAAGTACTTCAATGTAACTTCCTCAATAACTTGCACAATGCAGCTATAAAAAATACTCCATGTCTGATCTCCAGATTGATTCATTTTGGGTTCTTTTGAGGATGGGATGCTAAATTCCTTTTCATGACTTCCATTTACCAGTCCTTTCATTTAATACACAAGAGACCAGTTCTTTCAGCTTCTTTCAGCACATTTCAAAGAATAGAAAGACAGAGATTGCTGTGCTGATCAAATCATAGAATAAAGGAGCTGAAAGGGGCCTATAAGGCCATTCAATCCAACCTACTGCTCAAGGCAGGAATCCAAATCAAAGCAAATCTGACAGATGGGGTTGTCTAGCTTTCTTTTGAATGCCTCCACTTCTGGAGCACTCACCACCTCTCTGGGTAATTGGTTCCATGGCTGTTCTGTTCTAACAGTTAGAAAGTTTTTCTGATATTCTACTGAAATATGATTTCCTGTAACTTGAGTCCATTGTTATGTGTCCTGCACTCTGGAATGATTGAGAACAGATTCTGCCCCTCCCCTGTTTTTCAACCTTTCAAGTATTTGAAGAGTGCTATCATATCTTCCCTCAGTCTTCTTTTCTCAAGGCCAAACATGCCCAGATATTTCAGTACTTCCTTATAGGGCTTAGTTTCCAGTCCCCTAATTCTCTTTGTTGGCCTCCTTTGAATTTTTTTTTTGGGGGGGTTGTCAGTGTGACAGCCTTCCTCACAACTCACAAAGGGAGGTCATCACGTCACTTTAAACCCTTCACTCTTCTTTACTGCCACCAACCATTCCTTAATGAATAAATCATACAGCAGGCCAGTATAACTTTTAAAAATAAAAACTTGGTTTATTGAATACAAAGAGAAAAGAATGGTAAATCACTGTTAAAGAAATAATCAATTACTGTTTCTCAGGCACTAGTTTGCACAGACTCTTTCTCACTGACACTACTTTAACTCACAGCTCAGACACTCATCTCTCATCTCTCATCTCTCATCTCTCATCTCTCATCTCTCATCTCTCATCTCTCATCTATCTCCTATCTCCTATCTCCTATCTGATCCACTCACACCTCTCACACACCTTATATATCACAGCTCCTCCCGCCTCTGCACCATCCTCCGCCGTCTCATTGGCTGAGATTTTCCCTCCCAGCTGTGACGGACAGGTTATGCTATGGCTGACCGTAACAGTATCCTTCTTAAAGTGTGGTATCCAAAACCGGACACAGTACTCAAGATGAGGCCTAATCAGTGTTGAATAGAGAGGAACTAGTACTTCACAAGATTTGGAAACTAAACTGTTAATGCAGCCTAAAATAGCATTGTCCTTTTTTTGCAGCGGCACTTAGCGTTGCTAAATTTCATTCTGCTCTTTTCAGCCCAGTGCTGAAGCCTCTCAAGATCTTTTGAAGCAAGTGCCCCATAATATTCTAAGCTAACAAGTTTGGGCTGGTTAGAACAACAGCAACTAACTCAGACTGTCATGGGAGATGTCAAGATTGCAAGTGTTGCATGGGTATAACAATTTCCATCCTATTGCCCATGCGACATTTGCGGTCTTAACATCCTCCCTCATTCCAGCTGATCCCAAAGGACATAAAAGCACTGATTTATACATATTGTATTTATGTGGGTGAAGGATATAACTACAACCTAACAAGAGACTGCTTATCAATAGCTCCTTCCCAAACTAGGAGGGTGCAAAAAGTGGAGTAATACAAGGCTCAGTCCTGGGTCTGATGCTCTTTAACATTTTTATTAATTACTTGGATGAGGGAGTGCAGGTAGAATTATCAAATTTGCCAACAACACAAAATTGGGTGGAATAGCTAATACTTTAGAAGACAGAAACAAAATTCAAAAAGATCTTCAGAGGCTTCAGCACTGGGCTGAAAAGAGCAGAATGAAATTTAGCAACGCTATATGCAAAGTTCTGCACCTACTTGGCTCAGCAATACTACATGCAAAAGGATATTGGAATTGTAGGATCACAAGCTGAATATGCACCTACAGTGGGAATTCAGCACTGTGAGAACTGGTGGCTGAATATATATCAATACAGGTGCCTGAATTTTTAGACTTTTCATGGACGCATGGCTATCCATGATTCTCATGAAAACCACCTTACTTCAAGATTTAACAACTGCACCATCAACTTTGAGTTCTCCAGTGTGGTTGTAATCAAACAGTGATGATAAATGTGAACCAAGTTAAATGATTTCAGATCCGTCCATTCTATTTTTGGACCGAGTGGCTGATGAATCTAGCTCAGCAGTTATTCCTTATTAATTAACCAAATACACAGCCATACAATCCTGTTCATGGCACATAAAATATTAACAGAAGAAACACACAACATTGTCACCTGTAAAATATACTTTATGGAAGAGGCAGAGTCATAGCTGTTACAGCCCAAGGGATTATACCAGCAGGTTGGAGCATGTTCGAGTTATTTAGCTACATGTCTAGATTAGAAAACAGCACCGTTTGTCATTTATGAATTTTCACCCAAACTTGGTGAATGATGTATTGCAGGCTGTGCAACAGGATTAGGCAAAAATGTAGTATAAACTCATAAGCAAGTCGCAGCCGATTAAACGTTTTAACAATTCAGCCAGCTGTTGCTCTGTTGAACAGACACCACTCGTTTACTGTTGGGGTCATACTTGAACACTTGTGTTCCCTTGAAGAAATGGATGTATCCTGAAAGAAGAGGATAGAAATGAGAATTAGCAAAAAGGATCAAGAAACGACTCTTTCTTCCAAATCAAGATATGAGTTAACATTGATCTGAACCAGGCCATTATGTGCAGTGTGAAAATAGTGCTTCCATATGATGTCCCTTTCTCTTAGTGTTATTCGCAGCTTCTCTGTCTAGAAACAGAATAATAGAATAATGGAGTTGGAAGAGGCCTAGGCCATCCAGTCTAACTCCCTAGTCAATGAAAGTATCCAAATCAAAGCAGATCTAATAGATGGTTGTCCAATTTAGGGTTGAATGCATTCCATGTTGGAGCACTCATCACCTCCTGATGAGTGTTCCATTGTTGTACTGCTCTAACAGGTTGCTTTCTTGAGATGTGCACAATTTATAGGAACAATTTCCAAGCTACTCTGAAAGCTAGACGAATGTTGTTTCTCTAATTAAAGTAGAAATAAACCAGTTTCTTTACTTACCATCCTGCTGTAAAACAGCATCTAAGTCACGGCCAACTCCTTGAAAATCTTTGAGTATCTTTCTGGGATAGCCTTGCTCCATGGATTGTGTGATTTCATCATATCTGAGCAAAGATAACACAATGTTGTGTGAATGCAATATTATATGACCATTTTTAAAAAGTAATCTGTTGCTGTAAATCAGCTGTTTTCAAGAAGGAAGGAGAATTAAACTTAGTCATATTTCCTTTCTCATCCCTATCTTCATCTTGATTGGTTGAAATAGCTAAAACAAATGGAATTCCACATTAATTGAACAACATATTTAAAATTATATCTAGAGTTCAGAAATAATGAATTACTCATACTAGTTACATGCCATTCATTCCTTTTCCCAGTATCAAAAGTATAACTGAGTTGTATTACAAGTATAATTTTATGATTGTAATTTAACAGGGGACTTTTTTTCTTTTCGTGAGGTGAGTGTAACTTTACAATTACAGAGGATGAGATGGCTGGACAGTGTCTGCGAAGCAACCAACATGAACCTGACACAACTCCGGGAGGCAGTAGAAGACAGGAGGGCCTGGCGTGCTCTGGTCCATGGGGTCACGAAGAGTCGGACACGACTAAACGACTAAACACAAAAACACATATTTCCTTTCTCATCCCTATCCTCATCTTGATTGGTTGAAATAGCTAAAACAAATGGAATTCCACATTAACTCAACAGCATACTTAAAATTATATTTGGAGTTCAGAAATAATGAATTACTCATACTAGTTACATGCCATTCATTCCTTTTCCCAGTATCAAAAGTATAACTGAGTTGTATTACAAGTATAATTTTATGATTGTAATTTAACAGGGGACTTTTTTTCTTTTCGTGAGGTGAGTGTAACTTTACAATTACAGTACTTTTATAGCTCCATCCATTAAACGATGGCGGAAGACTGTCATATGTTTCAAGTAATAAAAACAAAACAGAAACCGAAAAAAAGGGTTGTGTTTTCCTTAAGGATAAGAGATGTTAGTTTTATAGGTGGCACAATATTTTTATCTTATTAGTTTAGTTTTGTCTGTGTAATACATGCTGAAACAGGTAAACATGGAGCTTCATGGCGCAGTGGTTAAACTGCTGTACTGCAGCCAAAACTGTCCTCACAACCTGGGATTCAAATCCCAGGTAGCTGGGTCAAGGTTGACTCAGCCTTCTATCCTTCCGGGGTCGGTAAAGGCTGGGGGGGGGGCAATATGTAGCATGCATAATTAACTTGTAAACCACCCAGAGAGTGCTTGAAGCTCTATTGGGCGGTATATAAGCACTACGCTTTTTTTGCTTTTTAATTTGTTAAGATAGCCGATAACTTCTGTAGCCCTAGGAACTAAAACGGTTAATTGATAATTTTTTAAAAACCTAGAAGAAGAGCTTTTGGTAAAAAATGTTTAAATCAAGCTGAAGCTATGAGTTGGAATTATGTGGGAAAAGCCACAATATTTTAAGAAAATATCAAATGTATGCCTATAAGAGAAAATCTAGCTAATTTCTCCTGGGTATAATGTTGATGCTTAACAAAGAAGACAAACTGAGTTTGCAGAATTTCCAGCTATACCTCCAATACTTGAAACCAGAAAATAAATATGTTTTCCCTGTTTGTTGATCACTAAATGCAGCATCAATTTTCTTCACATTTTTGGGAAAGCCCAGCTCGTAAATGCTCCTAGGGTAGCCAGACAGGACATCGTATCCATCTAGAACCCAATATTGTTTTCCTACAAAGTAAAAAAAAAGTGTTTACATGCATGAAATAACACATTCAGAGGATTTTAGAGGCAAATGCATTGATCTTGGAAGCCAGACAATCATATAATTCCTAACTTACTTACTTATTTTCTTTCTTTCTGGAATATATTTTCTTTCTTTCTTTCTTTCTTTCTTTCTTTCTTTCTTTCTTTCTTTCTTTCTTTCTTTCTTTCTTTCTTTCTTTCTTTCTTTCTTTCTTTCTTTCTTTCCTTCCTCCCTCCCTCCCTCCCTCCCTCTCCCCCAAGGAGGGGGCTCAAGGCAGCTCTCAGTGTTAAAAAACAAAATTAAAAGCACAATAAATTATATATTTAAAACAATTAAACTATAATGATAATTAAAATATACTGAATCATTAAAAATATTAAAATCAAACTTATTTCACTAAAAACAAGCATCCAGGGACTCAGGACTTTTAAAAGCCTGCCTGAAGATGTAGCACCTTCATAGGATGATATCTGTATAGCTGTGCTTGCAGCTATTGTTTTGCAAGGAAAAAAATCCCAGCAATTTTAAAAGGGGGCAAGCGGGGTTCATTGCTCACCTTTAAAGAGAACGACTGTGTCTTTTTGAAAATTTTCGTAGCCAGCATCGATGCTAGATGGTAGATTTGGCCAGAAGAGGGAAATGAAAAAGAGTTCCACATCTACCAACTGAGGGTGTCTACGCCAGAAGTGCCTGATTTTTTAAGATGTAAATATCACATTAGAAAGTAGGAAAGCTTCCACAGAAAAGCACATTACTTCACATTTGGAAAAGGTTGTAAATCAGCTACTCAGGAAATATCTGTAGCCTCCATAGTAAAGCACCTGTCTTGTATCCTAAAAGTTAGTGACTCAGTCCCTGAGATCTCCAGATAGGATATGGAAAAACTTCCAAAATTTAAATGCAGGAGTGGGTGATACCTTTATTAGACCACTAAAAAAAATCAAGCAAACAACAGATAGCTAGCTTTCAATGGTAATTCATCCTCTTCAGGCTGTACACCATGTTCTTGTGGGTAGTTCAGAAAATCATATACATTTCTTAGAGTCCCAAATTTCATGACCATTATTGGGGCCAGGTTGTTTTCTTGAGATGAATTCAGATGCACAACTTGGTGCTCAGCCTGAGGAAGATGATTGATTGATTTTTTATTTATTTATTTAACTTATATGCCGCCCACTCTACCCAAAGGTCTCTGGGCAGCTTACAACAATTAAAATACAATTAAAATGCAATAAAAGATAAAATGATTAAAATACAATTAAAATAGATAATCTCAAAATTGCCATCAGGACCCACAGCTGACATTATTTCAATTGAAAGCCTTCTGGAACAGGAAGATTTTGACTTGGCACCGAAATGTCATCAGCGTCGGCGCCAGATGAATCTCAGTCGGGAGGGCATTCCATAGTCTGGGGGCAGCTGCCGAAAAGGCCGTTTGTCTACAAGCCCTCCCTCTTACCTCCTTAAGGGATGGCTCTTTCAAAGGGGCCCCCTGGCTAGATCTTAACTGCCGGGTAGGCTCATACGGAAGGAGGCAGTCCTTCAGGTATCCAGGGCCCAAGCCGTTTAGGGCTTTATATGTCAAAACAAGCACTTTGAATAGGGCCCGAGTAGCAACTGGTAGCCAATGTAACTTAAATGTCCCCTAGCGGCCCCACCACTCACCAGCCGTGCAGCCCGATTCTGAACCAGTTGCAGTCGCCGGACTGTCTTCAAAGGCAGCCCCATGTAGAGCGCATTGCAATAATCTATATGAGATGTTACCAGTGTGTGTGTAACTGTCATGAGACTTATCATCAAAAGCTAGATGTCTGTTGTTTGCTTGATTTTTATTTTATTTTTTGGTCTAATAAAGATATCACTGGCTCCTACACTGTATTGTTTTGGGGACCACAAAGCCCTTTATTGATTTTTTTAAATTTAGAAACAGTCTGACTCAGAACATGGAAGAGCTGCGGCTAGTCAATGTTCACTGGAGGTATTGTGCTACAATCCCCATCTTTTCCAGCTATTTCCAGTACTAGATTAAAACAGATAGGAAGAATCACAGGATCAATTTCTTCCGTACACTTTTCTTTCTGGATATGCTCCTATCAACCACATCCCGCAAATACATTTCTCTACATGCAAAGTACAAGTTACCCACAAAGACCCAAGTATTGTTCTGACTAAATCTGAGAAAATTTCCAGAAAAGCTCTTGAAGGTGGCCATATGTCTAGATTGTTCCAAAAAAAGTCCTGATATTCTGTACACATAAATGTTTCAAATTACTCAGTAGTATCTTCATCATGTGAATTACAGCAAAAACTAGTCTGAATTCAACCAAGAGTTGGGCTATAAAGTGTAAAGAACTATAGGGTGAGGCCATCCAACCTGTGTTTAAAAACTGACACACTATGATCACACAGAAGTGGTTGTACAACCACTGTTTTAAAAGTATCTTCATCATGTGAATTACAGCAAAAACTAGTATGAATTCAACCAAGAGGTGGGCTATAAAGTGTAAAGAACTATGGAGTGAGTTGGCCATCCAACCTGTGTTTAAAAACTGACACACTATGATCACACAGAAGTGGTTGTACAACCACTGTTTTAAAAAGCCAAGAAAGGTACAGTGATGCCTTGCAAGATAAAAATAATTCATTCTGCAAGTTGTTTCGTATTGCAGAAATTTTGTCTTGCGAAGCACGGTTTCCCCATAGGAATGCATTGAAATTTAATTAATGCATTCCTATTCATCTTGTGAAGCACGGCCATAGAAAAATTTGTCTTGTGAGTCACCAAAAAAAAATATCGCAAGACACTTTTGTCTTCCACATTTTTCGTTGCGCGAGGCATTCATCTTGTGAGGCATCACTGTAATGCTAGGGGTGCTGGGTATTTAGCCTGCACCATCATCATTTGCCAGCAAGTCAGTTCTGTCTAATGGCAATCCTTTTCAGGTAGAGATTACTCAGAAGTTATATATAAGAAAGTAACTTACCTGCCCTTAAAGAACATCATTTCTCCACGGAAAGTGGCAATAGCATCAAAAGTGGTCCTGGGGTCACAAGCTTTTGGTGTGGTTGGTCCAGTTGGTTGTACCGGACTATCCAATTTCCCTAAATTAAAGAAGAATTCTATCAAACTCTGTATTAAATAGTTCTTTAAAACAATGCTAAATGGGGGATGCCATTGTTTAATTGTTCAGGAGAAGAAGCTATGGGTAGGGATGACCCTCACACTAGGCAAATACTTGTGAAGCCACTTAATTCTTTTCTAGCAAGATTATTTTTCACGCAACAACATAGGCAGTGGATTTTTCTTGTGTCCCACCACTGATCAAGGAATTCTCCTGTGTAAATCATAACTGACATGAATGGGAGTTGTCTAAAATACCTGTAGGTTGTATGCCATTTTAAAACCGCTTGGAAAAGTTACTTTTTGGAACTACAGCTTGCAGACCTTCTTGCAGCATAGCTATCAGCCACAGTGGCTGGAGGTTTCTGTGAACTGCAGTTCAATACAGTAACTTTTCTAATGCCCGAGTTTGTTTGTTTGTTAAACATCTATTTATGCATTGTAGGGTTCCGTTCCCATAGGAACTAATGCAAAGCTGGTTAATACGTACTCTACCACTAGGGGGAGAGAATTTTTTTAACCTAAGGTGACCTAAGGTTAAAAAAAGAGCAGGAAAGGTTTTTTTTCCTGTTCTTATCTTGGATTTCTGTTCTCAAGTAGAAGCAAAATTTAGCAAATGGAGCTGTTCTTAAGTTGGATTGTTCTTAAGTAGGGACGTTCTTAAGTAGAGACCTCACTGTATTTATGCATTGTAGGGTTCCAGTAAAGACACTTTTGGTAACAACAAATCTACCCAATTCTTGCTAATGTTTCATTTTTCTTAGCCTTACCATAAACGGTTTGAATGCCATCAATGTCATCCTGAGGAAGCCGAAATAAATTAGGTTCCGTGTAAGAGTAGGTGGGATACATCAACGCTCCGGGATCCGTGGAGTGGGACAAACCCAAGGAATGTCCGAACTCATGAGCAGCAACAAGAAACAGGTTGCGGCCTGACAAAATAGGCAAAACAATCATGTTTCCATTCAGAGAAACAATGAGAAGAGTGCTGGGATTCTTGGGTTGCTTTAATACATGAACATGCTACTTAGAGGTAGAACAAAAAAATCTGCACGTTTGGAGCGGCAAGCTAGTAAACATTAATCACAGCTCAAAACCAAACTGAATCTAAAATAGTGCCGCTGCTCAAGTTGGGTGCAGGAGAATTATACCTGGTTCAGACTGGGAACAGAAATTGTAAAGGGTTAATTGTTTCCCTCCACCCTGATCCTGATAAGTATCATGCCCTCCACCTCCAGCTGCTATTATGGTGTTATTGGGGGTTGGCCTCCCCAATGGAACCTTCCTTCCTGGATAATTTTAGTGGAAAGATTCTCATTGCAACTCCAATTGTGGGGAAGAGGTAACCTTCTACCTATGTCTCCAATCCTGATGATCACTTCCCAGCATTAGGAAATTTTTCTTTTAAGGACTACACTGGCTATGTTGGCTGGGCTAGTCCTGAAAGTAAATTTTGCAAACTCTGTCTTCCCATCCATGGTCGTTTATTATAAAAATACTAGATATACTAATAATGCATATGTCTCCTTGCCCGTCTGCTTAGTTTGGCCCTCCTACTGCAAGAAAAAAAAAAGAGGGAATATATATTAGTTACTTCAAGGAGTTCAGATAGAAGGGGAAGAACTGGGTTACAAGGTTTCCCTTTTGTGGATGGGACATCCAGGATGTTCCATAGAGTGTTCAGAATTGTATCCCTGGTCAAGACTGAAATTACACTGTTTTGCCAGCCTGTTTCATGGTACAGTGGTGCCTCGATTGCCCCGCATTATGACGAATCCGCTTTATAATGATCTTTTTGTGATCACAATTGCGATTGCAAAACAATGGTCTAAATGGGGGAATTTCGCTTTGGGATGATCGGTTCCCTGATTCAGGAACTGATTCTTCACAAAACGATGTTTTTAGAACAGCTGATTGGCGGCTTCAAAATGGCCACCGGCTTTCAAAATGGCCCCCCGCTGTTTTCAAGGGATGGATTCCTCGCTATACAGGCAGAGAAAATGGCCACCGTATGGAGGATCTTTGCTGGACGGTGAGTTTTTGCCCCATTGGAATGCATTGAACGGGTTTAAATGCATTTCAATAGGGTTTTTATTTTCGATTTTCGATGTTTTCGCTTAACAGCAATTTTCCTGGAACAGATTATCATCGTTAAGCAAGGCACCACTGTATTGTCCTACTATCTCATTTGGTGATACTTGGGGACCTTGCCTTTGACAGAAGACAGTTGCTTATGTAGACTTCCATTGCTGCTACAATATATTTGTTTTGCAAAACTTTCTACAGTCCTTAAGAGTGGTGAGACTGTACCTCTGGAGCCTTGTTTTGTCCATTGTTCATCCTCATCAAAGTGAGCATCTCCACCAATATTCCTCCCTGGCTGGAAGGCATGTGCCAAGATCCCATCATGCCCATCAAAAGGAGAGTTATCACCGTGTTCTGAAGGTAGGGAAAGAAATGTGGTTGATCATGTTTTAGACATCTTGCTTCAGAAAACAATGACCAAGGATGGTTTTGTTCTCGTGCGGTGTATCTAGTTACCTCCTGAATGAAAAGAGATCATTATATCTGCTAAGCCATCGTAGAGCCTTGTGAAAGTAAGAGGAGACACGTTGCTCCATACTTCAAGGGCCTTCTGGATTGCTCTGTCCACATCCGATGGATGCATGTCTGGTGTGTAATTCACAATCCTTTAAAATGAAACACAAACAAAGCAGTTCCTTAACAGCTGAATAGGACACTGTGAGGTGTTTTAAGAAGAGCCAACTTCAAAAGTGATCAGAAGCCATCTGATCATGATTCTATAAACTCTTTGGATCATCTGTTGATTACAAATTAGTTTGTTTTATTGCATGGTTGGCTGTCAGCTTAGTTTACATTTTGATTGCTGAGTTGCTCAGAAGGTAGCTGAAAGGCTAATGTGTTTTGCTCTTTTAAATGACATTTGACTTGAACATATCTTGGACAGGCAATAAAGATTGCGCAACAAGGCAAGCACATATTTCCTCCTCCCATGTGATCTCTTCAGGAATGCAAGGTTTCCAGTGCTATATGCCTGAGACATCAGACAAGGAAGGAAGCCATGCCACCTCCCAATTTTGTCTGACCTACTGTCAGACAAAAACAGGATAACCTGTTAAATTAGGTTGAAGACAAAATCATGCTAGAATAAATAGGCTTCTCTTCTTAAGGAAGCTCTGCTTCTAAAAACATTAACTGATCCGAGACTGATTTTGGATAAAGGGTCAACATCTCAATACACTATTTGAGCAGAAACAAAGGGTTGCACTTGTGGAGAGGCATATTTAAGACTCGTTTTCTGCAAAAAAATAAAAATAAAACCCAGATAGGTTTGATGTGAAACATGGAGAGGCATATTTAAGACTCGTTTTCTGCCAAAAAACCCCAGATAGGTTTGATGTGAAACACATCTTTGCAGTGAACATATAGGAATGACAGTGGTTGTTCTGATGTTGCTGCTGCTGTTGTTTAACAATGTAAATGCCAGATGTTATGAAAGTCTGGTAATTATCAGGACCACAGCTGGCTAAAGGGTAGGATTTAAAAGTAGGTAATAAGATTTCTGTAAAGAGCTTGTCATTTTAATATCTCAACTGAACCTGTCTGTTTCCTCCACTGCCGCATTCTGATTTTAAAAAAAGGGGTTCCATTGTCACTCTGAAACAGCAGATTAAGTACAAAGCAGACATCTGACTAGCTTGGCCCTGCAGCAAAGCCAAGTGGTAACCTGGGTTGCTCATTGGTCTCTTATCCTGAACTTGGTCCATTTCTTTGAGCATGGAAGGAGACAAGGACAAATATTGTCCATTCCCACAGTTTGCAGTTGTACAATTCAGGAGATTTATTAACCAATTCTGTGAATTGTGGGCACTAATCTAAAAAAACAAGAACAACAAGCAAGCAAACAAAAAAAGCCCACCAAAAAACAGCAACACACCTCATATTTGCACACTTTCCAATAGGTTATTGCATGTAGGTGTATATGACTTATGTTGCTGTTTGAAAAGTCAAAAGTCTGCCGTATTCTGAGACTAGGGAAGTGATGAGCACATGAAACATCTTTCACTTTCAGCCATATTTCTAATCTTGCCATTTATTCATTCATTCATTCATTCATTCATTCATTCATTCATTCATTCATTCATTCATTCATTCATTCATTCATTCATTCAAAATGTTTTTTACCCTATCTTTCTCCTAACAAAGGAAGCAAGGTGGTGTACATAAATAAAAACACAACATTAAAAGCTAGAAATAGTAACTTAAATATTTTAAAAGAATTTAATAAATATTGTATTAAATATGTTATTTTGACATTACTTTGTCCATACCAAGATCTTCCTGCTCAGCGGTTCCTAACCTTTTAAACTCCACAGACCAGTTGGGGATGGCGGGGCACCCCCCATGCTTGCGTTCATGCACGAAAGAGCAGACGCGCAGGTGCGAAGGGCAGAGGGCTGCTCGAGGACACTTGCGCACACACGCAAAGGCCAGGGGGACATTTGTGCACATGCACACACTTGTGTGCACGCACAAAGGAGCTGCGCGGGGAAAGTGTGTGTGAGTGTGTGTGTGGTGGGTGGGAGATCTGTCCCTGTGGCCCAGTCTGACCCAGGCCACGGACTGGCACCGGGCCATGGACCGGGGGTTGGGGACCTCTGCTCCAACTGAGACTTTGCCCTGCACCACCTTTGTGGTGATAGATAGATAGATAGATAGATAGATAGATAGATAGATAGATAGA